TGATTTTGAATATCTGACCACAAAACCATGCAAAAGAAAAAAAAAAATGAATACAATATTACATTATACATTTTTAGTGTGTTACAAAACACAAATTAAACAGGGTCTGGTTTAGATAAATTTTTAAAACAAAATTCATGCAAACATCATGCAAAACTATTATCTTTGAGGAACATATTTTTCAAATATGAACTGTAAATTAGATTTAAAAATAACACCACGCAAATTTTAAAGAACTATATGAACTATTGAAAAATGCTGTTATTCATTGCTGCACAGTTTGCATGTAAACACACCAACACGTTTATAATCTACCATGGTTAAAGTAACTATCTTTTTAAAAAGTCCAAAAGAGGCCTATTTCTGTTACAAGTGAGCATTGCTATATATGCATTAGTACAGGTGACTATACTTCTTCTTTTTCCCAGACATGTCCTGGCCAGGATTGATACTATCTAAAATCTAAAATGTCCAGATTTTGGCTTTGTTTTCTTACTGACATGCTATTTACAGTCCTCATACATTATATGTACATGTATTTGCATTGCTTTGACCGTTCTCTGCATCCCACCTTCTTGCACGCCACAATTGGTCAATTAAGCACAATGCCTGCACAAACTACTTTTCAGTCATTACCTTCAGCAAGTACAAAAACAAAGCCAAAACTCAGACATTTTAGGCCATTTAGAAATCCTGGCCAGGACATGTCTGGGGAAAATAGAATCTACAGTCACCCTAAGTTACTGTACATCAGAGAAAAAAAGCTCTTTGTACAGACATGAGTTTATCCTCAATGGAGCCACATGCTGAACTCCTGCAGAAAAGACAGCGGCAGTAAAAGAAATGTCTCCGGGGCGGCCCACCGGCACACTAGTTTAATGGTGTGTCTCACTAGTACACACCATTAAACACTCACTAACATCATTAAATCAAGTAATGAAGTAATGAGCCAGCGAGCCACTAGGGGCAGTGCTGAGAAACACTGTTGTTGCATGCAATACCTTTCATCTGGCACATAATTTTATCTTCTGTATGAGTATAATGTGCAATAGACAATTCAGAATGCCATTTAATTGGCTGCTCTATGTTAGGTAGGACTATCCATGTAATATTGCAAAAACACATCCACATTTTTACAGACATTATCGTACATAAACTATTGTTATGCGGAGAAATTCAAAAACAGTACACTGGTAGGGTTTGCAATGTAATATATTAAAACAATGCAGTTGCATTGATGTTTAATGCATTTTCTTGGATTTAGCACCACATTTTAGTTTCATTTTGTTATGCAAAATCCAGTGTGCTCATTTATAAAGAGCACTGAATAAAACATATTCGTTTCCTCTGTGATTTATAAAAAGTTTGACAAGTTATATGAAATAAAATGTATGGAAAGCTAAAAAAAAGGAGAGAAATAAAACAAAAATAAAATAAAAATAAATAAAATGTATACATTCAGAGGAACTGAGCTTACGGTGGAAAGCTCTTATTTCTCAGTGCAGTTGTTACTTCTGTAAACGGTTTAGTAAACAGTTTTACTAAGAAAAGATACATGAAATCGTTGTTTACTTATTTCTTGATTAATTATATCCTCCCTTCCAGTTGTGCGAACAGTGAACAACTTTCAAACCCCATTCTGACAGAAAACACAGTGGAATGCTTTGAATTAGCACCCCATCAAAATGAGGTTATGTACCTTGTATGTATAAAATATTACGATCCTGAACCCACTGCAGTGTTCAGAAAGGAAGTTAGTTCTTACATTACTTCAAGTCAGCGCTGTCTGGACAAACTATACTCACATTCCTTCTTGGACATAAATAGATATTAATCATTCTGAAACAAAAGGCAAATCCATTATATTAATAAAAAGAGGGATAGCCTTAAGATTATATAATAAATAGTGCAACATTTGCAACCTCTGTCCTTCAAAATGACAAATTATTTGAGAAGGACGTTTTCCAGTTTTAAAATCCAGGAAGTCGTTGCTGGTGTAATGCTGTAGGACCTACTGTGAAGCTCTCCACTGCATCAGAGCATCAGGTTCCTCAGCGTTCACAGGTCCGTCTTCACTGGCTTTGCCATGTTGTTTAACAGCAGACTGCGAGGTTTGTCTGGACTCACCACAGCGGTGGTGAAAAGGGGAAGAACGGATACTGAGTATCATCCTCATCCACAAAGAAACACTGGAAGTAGGGAACGTCCTCTGTAGTGGAAAAGACATTAGAGGTTGTTTTGGGATGATTTCAGGGAACACAAGTTTGCCATTTGACCTTTGTCTCCAACTTTGAAATGTTTCTATTGTCAAGATGCTTTATATATTACTACAAGATGGCATTTAAAGAATAGGTGCATGTACAGTTTGTGTGGTGTGATCTTAAAGCAAATAAAGGTTCACCATGATCTGAAGTTCACACTTGATATAGTGACAATACTTACCCTCCTCTATCTCTGGAATATCTTTGGTGACATCAGGTTCTTCTCCTACAGAAGGGTAATACAGATTTCCTTTAATTTATGATCTTAATCAAATCATTTTACAATACATCATGGTTATCATGAACTAAATGACAACTAAAATAAAAAGGTTTAGTAATTTTTATGCATTTTATTTTAGTATTTCAACTATACACACACACACACACACACACGTATATCTTACTTTTTACTCCCTTGGCCACAACAGGTTCCTTCTCAGTTGGCTCGACTACTGATTACAGAACATTCACAAAACATCAGGTAAATGTTACATTTGACATGTTACGTGTATAGTATCAGAATACATGGACTGCACTTTACACCAAAATATTGCTTTATACCACTTTATAACTGTTAAACTTGAAAAAAAAAATCAAATACAAAAAAGCATACCTCTTTCTTTGACCTGCTCAGGTTCTAAAACATAAAAGAATATAGCTTTATTAAAAGTATCTTAAAAATGTTACTGTTAAGGTCTAGAAAGTTCCTGTTTGTTATGTGCTGGACAGCTCTGATTTTCTTAGACATGTTTTCAATATTTCTTCTTAAGGAATATCAGATTCCAGTTGTAGATGAAAAGTTTTCTATATTCATGAGTCAACTATTATATACTAGCCAGACATCACATGATCAACTATTAATGTCAAGCCTGTTGATGAATATATAAAATAATGAATATTCTTGGAGTTCAAAGAACTATTGCTAAAATGAATATGAAAAGTCTGTGTTAGTAAATCACTCAGCCATAGTACCTTTCTTTAAAGGTTCCTTTTCTTCTTTGACCTTCTCACGGGTGATTTCTAGCATCAGGAGAGATATTTTTAGTCACTGATACAACAATAAGAATCTTTTTACTTAGCAAAAAGAAAATGATATTGGTAGGTGATTTCAATTGTTAACAGTAAATATATATTTTACCTTTCTTTTTGGGCTCTGGTCTGATCTTAGCTTTTGGAGCCTCTTTATCTAGAATAGAAAAGTTAATAATTTCTTGGATATAATGGATATAAATAATTTGTTGTGATACCCTTTAATCTAAATAACAGTTCAAAGTGATTCACAAAGAAATAAGAATAAAACGAATATAAACTAGTATTTTCACAAAACTAATCTTCTGGTTTAGGTTTTTATGGTCTTAATTGCCCACAAAAATCACACTTCAATAAATTCTGTCAATTAACATATGCATATTTGTATAATATAGCTGCTGTTACATAGCTTTCCGACATACCTTTCTTTGCAGGTGCTGGTTTAGTGATGTTTTTTAGTGCATCACGTTCTGTGTTGTGGAGAAGACAAACAGGTTAAGCTGCTTGCAAGTTTTAATTGCATAATAATAGGACAACGAGAGCTGGATATTAATTTACATTCATTTTGTACTGTATATGTGACCATGGACCACAAAACCAGTCATAAGGGTCAATTTTTCGAAATTGAGATTTATACATCATCTGAAAGCTGAATAAATAAGCTTTCCATT